CGTGCTGTATTGATTGAAGACTGGCCTGAGCCGAAGGAAAGATGTGCGTCACCCTCGAATCAGACTGATGTCTCGACCTGAGCTTTCAACTCATGATGGCGTGAAGCCTGAGCAGTGTTGGTCATGTACCGCTTCGCTATGCCTGCGTAGACAATGCGCACATTTGCGCCGTACATTCTCCAGACGACGCGTTTGACCAGCCCAAACGAAGAAGATAACCAGCGGTCCTGACGCGTCGACGATCTCAGCGGCGCGTGCAGACCGTGCGATGTCAGCGCCTCTCGACGCGATCGTCCTCGAGACCACATGTTTATGTTGCGTGTGTAAAAAACGGTGTGTGATCGCCGAGACTGCAGGAAGACTCGAATTGAGACAGCGATATCGGTCTCACGAGGCGTTCGCGGTTCCAGCGCATAGCCATCGCCGATCTCGAGCTCAGGCGGGAGGTACAAAAGCCTACCTGTGCCAGATACTTCGATCCCAGTCCAGGGCCTACTCTCTGCGCCGACATTGTCAAGTATGGTAAGCTTCCTCTGGGCAGTGGTGGCCGCCTCGGCTTTGGGTGTCGCGTGGGGCAACCCTTTGGCTCGCCGGACCTTGCAGCTACACGAGGCTCGTGCAGCGGCTCCGAGTGGTTATACGCTCATTTCTTCTGCATCCCCGGACACGGTACTCAATCTTTGGGTCGCACTGGTGCAGAGCAATATTGACGGACTGCTTGACACACTCTACGACGTCAGTGATCCCGAGAGTCCGAACTACGGCGAGTACTTGACCAAAGAGGAGGTACGTTTGTCTGCCGTTTGTTTCGTTTCTGAGTACACCCTGAACTCTGTGTTAGGTCGAAGCCTTTGTCAAGCCCGCGCAGGATAGCATCGACGCTGTTTACGCATGGCTTGGGGACAACAACCTCACGGCAACGCCCGTATCACCTTCGGGCGACTGGGTCGAGGTCAACATACCAGTCAGCAAAGCAAATGAGCTCCTGGACGCGGACTTCTCTATCTTCAAACACGAAGCTACAGGCACGCAGACAATCCGGGCTTTGCAATACTCGATCCCTGTGGAACTAGCGGAGCATGTGGATCTCATCCATCCCATCACCAGGTTCGCAGAGTATCTTGATACGTCCACACGCACTGACGTGGATGGAGCCTAGCTTCCCGGCGCAAATCGTAAACAACACTGCACCCGCTTTTGTTGCGGCCGCAAGCCCCCACAGCCCGACCGTTACCCGTGATACATCGAATGTCACCGCTGTTTGTGGACCTTACAACCAGCCGAATATCACAGTAGCATGCCTCCAGTACCTGTATGGCATTCCGACTTCTCCCGCGACGAATCCCGACAACGGCATCGTGGTCGCCGGATATGTAGAGCAATACGTGAACGCGAACGATCTGAAGGTCCGCTATCATGAATGTCGAGGGAACATGATTCGAGCTAACTTGCTGCGCTCAGATATTCCTGGAGAAGTACAGGCCAGATATAAATCCTGCGACGACCTTCGCGACAGAGACGATCGACGGAGGCAGTAACCTGCAGAATGTTACCGCTGGATCTGAAGGGGTAAGGGCATCGATGTTTTCGGAACGGAGCCAATCTAACGAAGGAGCAGAATCTCGACATACAGTATACCGTCGGCCTTGCCACGGGCGTCCCAGTGACCTACCTCCTGGCCGGAAACGACACACATGACGGGCTGTCCGGCTACCTCGACACGGTGAATTATGTCCTCAATCAGACATCGCCGCCTCCGGTGATGACGACGAGCTACTCATCCAACGAGGATGTGATCTCGGAGAAACTGGCATAGTGCGCATATCTTCGTCATGAGAGAACCTTGGCAACACTGACTCAACCGCTCGCGCCCTCGTGCAGTAACCTTTGCAACGCGTATGCACAACTCGGCGCGAGGGGTGTCTCGATCATTTTCTCTTCGGGCGACGGTGGCGTGTCAGGCACAGGCTACCAAGATTGCACGACCTTCGTTCCCACATTTCCCAACACCTGCCCATAGTGAGTCAAAGCCGTCGTCGCCCACACCACAAGAATCTGACATACCATCCTTGTTGCGTAGCGTGACTTCGGTTGGTGCCACGGGTGCGGACATCAACTGGGCAGACCAACAAGGCGTGCCCTTCTCGGGCGGCGGCTTTTCCAACTACTTCCCCATGCCGACCTACCAGTCTTCTGCGGTCTCGGCTTACCTCAAGCAGCTCGGCAGCAATGACACAGGGCTATACAACGCGTCCGGTCGCGGCTTCCCGGATGTCAGCGGCTTCGGCGTGGATTTCGCTATGGTGCGGGACACTAAGTCACCGCTACCTTGGGACAGTGGCCAAATTGGTCGGGCAGCGCCCAGGTAACCCCAGCCTAGGGCTGGCTACCGCATTTGGCCATCTAAACGCCCATTTGTAAGCAGATCGGGCATCTGAATCTCTTATGGAGACGGTGGTCACCCGCGGAAGGTGGGCGCCTAGAGGCCCAGGCCCAGCGCTGGTAGACCGGGTTGTGGGCGCTACTGAGGTGAGACTTGCCATGTTGGGTGGCTACACGTGACCTGGCCAAATTCCCATCACTCAACTTCGTCAATTTTGAGTGTTGGGAAAATCCGTCTAGTAGGATTGTTCCTAATGCTAATTGGAGCAATTCTACAAGAGGGATAAGGATTCGGGCGAAATCTGGCGCCTACCGAAACGTTGTTTCAAAGTAGCGGTGACTTAGTGTCCCGCACCATACCGTGGTCGGTGGCGCCTACGCTCCGACGACGGGCACGAGCTGTTCGACGCCAATGTGGGCGAGCGTCATCGCGCTGCTGAACGACGAGCTGCTCAATGTAGGCAAGCCCGTGCTGGGCTTCTTGAACCCGTGGTTGTACTCGAAGGCAGCGGGTGCAGTGACAGATATTGTGAAGGGAAATAACAAGCAGTGCCTGGAGTCCGATGGCTCCGTGGCTGGCTTCGTGGCGACGACCGGGTGGGACCCTGTAAGTGCATTCCAGCTACCGAAGGAAACGAAGGGACTGATTGCGCCGCATCGTGCAGGTCACCGGTCTGGGGACTCCTCTCTACGACAAATTGAGAGCGGCGGCAGGGCTCTGATCATTGCCAATAGTTTGCGGCATATGCCTTCGAGGCGTGAACTACCAATGGACAGGGACACTCGAGGACTCTGCACGGACATAACACGGACTGGTATTGTATGCCTCGAATAATGATTCTCATGCTTTGATATGTACTGACGATCTCTCACATCACGACATTCGAGGCTGTGAAGTTCTGTCAAGCTCAGCGTGGTCGACCGAATCCGGCAACGCTCATGCAGTTATCGTTAGTCCACACTTCCACGCTCGAGTACTTGTCTGCTGAGCTTCGGGACACTGTTCGGGTCTGCCAGGAATGCCAAATGGGCTACCGAGACACGTCAGAAGCGTCGGCCCACATACACCGTGCTGCTCAGGCAATGTTGCGAGAATGGCGCTACGAACCATTTGCAGTATTGCCACTGCGCACCAGACCCGACAAGCCTCGCTTCTCTTACGATCGGTTATGTTTGCGTACATATCAGGCAAGGCACTTGTCCGACTGCCTGCCTCCTGCTCGGATCCGTATGTAATGCGCGGGCGGTTGGCTCATGCGCGCACTGCATATAAGATGCAGAGGAGCAGAGCTAATCTGCATCCAGAGCCTCCGAGTCAGTACTCAGTCCTCAGCCAACATGTCTCAAATCAACCTGCAGATCACGTACTTCGTCTGGGCTCCGGACAGCAAAGTCGGCGACGTCATGCAGAAACGTAAGGCCGTCGACAGCGAGCACAACGAGTGGATGGAGGCCCGCCGCGCGGATGGCATTCTCCGTAAGTCGACTTGTCACGTCCAGCCACATTGCTCTTGTGTCTGATGTTCTTGTTCGTTGACAACCTGTGGACTTCATCTAGAGTTCGGTGGTGCGATCTTGAACAAGGACGAGAAGTTGCCGCTCACGGTTGTTCCCGACATCGCTGGGACCTTGCTGATCGTCAAGGCCGACAGCCTGGAGGCTGCACGCAAGCTCATTGAACAGGAGCCGTACTACAAGGCCGGTGTGGTAGGTCGTTACTTCTTCGACGGGTGACTGCATTGCTAAACTGCTTGGAATTCTACTAGTGGGACACGAGCGACATCAAGATCGGACCTGTCCTTTCCAGGGCTTAGGATAGAATGATGCGACGAGCCTCGATATGTCAAACGGCACGTACCAGTTGGATATGAGTTATGGCAATGCTATGGTGTTGGCGATGACCTGAATTTGAGCCCATATTCGACACGTCGCTAACTATTTGAACTTGAGTCCCAGACGCGTCACGGTCGAAGCTGCCGTTGTCCAGTCAGATGTCTGAAGCATTGTCGCGCTATCCATGTCTCAGGAGCCAGGAATGCGCGTGTCCTCAAGGCTTGTGCCAGCGGTTTCGGGAACCTGGAAGGATGTTCCAAAGCCGTAGTATGCACATGGCAGTAGTCACGGCCTATGCTCTTCAAGCAGAAATTGGTATATGATGCACAGCATACTTACCAGCAGAAGTTTCCCCTAAGGCAGTTGTATGTGGACACGACGCTTCAAGCTTCAAGCTCAAGTTCAAGTTCCTGCTCAAAGCGCGTCAGTACTTGCATCGCGCGCAAGAGCTTGCCCTGAATGCATCATGTGATTACGACGCGCACCGACGCGACGTCACCACCGTGACCATCACCCGGTAAGTTACTTACTACGTCTTGAGCAGTACATTGTCATATGTACGAACAACTGTCCCGAGGAGGAAATCTTGATTTTGCTTCTCCTTGATGGTGTACATACTCACAATTCTGACAACAGTTGTTATTGATTGAAAGCTTTGAACCTGGCTGAGGCCGCGGGTGCGGTTTACAAGTGGTAAGTCTTCGTTGACGTGTATGCGACACTATGGGTACGGAAGAGGCGTTATTCAGCGTCTTCCTAACCTTTTTGTAGATAGTTATCTTACCATGCCTTTCAAGCGACCTGCTCCTGAACCGCATCCTCGCTCTGACTCTCAGTCACTGGAATCTTCCTCGTCGGCTCTCCAGCCATCGAAGCATGCCCGTCTGGAGCCTTCAGAGAAGGCCATACCAGATGTCACGTTGTACATTGTTCAGGCTAAGCTGGATCCGTCCAGTCTATCGGAGCTCTTCCGGCTCGCGGAGAGACATGCACAACGCCTATGTTCAAACGCGACCGAGGCTGACGTGATAATCACAACCATTCGCATGAGGAGGCGTTTGGAACGACACATACCATGGACTCTTGCTGTGAGTACAACCGCTGGTTTTTACCTACCTGTAGCTGAGCTGAAACTCCCTGCAGAAACAGAAGGCGATAGTAACGCCTCAATGGCTCCGGGACTGTGTCAAGCAAAACAAAGTTCTCCCATGTGTCGATTATGCTGCAATCCAGGAGCTACGGACTGAGACCGAGAAAAATTGCCCAGAATGCAATCTTGCACCGTGTCTTTGCGGCGACTCAGATTCAGAAGTAGAGACACCATCCAGTCCTGCCATCGTGAAGCACACAGGCTTACAAACACCACCGCAATCTCTACGCTTGTCGTCGCCTGCACCTCCGCTCGAGCTTCTCATACCCCGACGTCGCCCCTTCCTCCCTCCGCAGACCAGCCAGCGTCGTCGAAGCACAGGACCACAAAGGCTGGGCTCGAGGAGACGCAAGAGTCAGACATGCACGCCAAGATTCCTGCTCGTCTCCTGCATCCGGACCCATCTATCCCGACGCCTCTGGACAAGCTCAATCATGCGTCTCGATACGCGTGCCAGCGTGCATCCCCCTTACATGCCCCAATCAAGAGCTCGTACGGGAGCTCGATATCGTGCATCGCTCTCGTGCTATGGAGGGCGAAGAACGCAACGCGTTGATTACCAGCGCGCAATCTCGGTGATCAAAGGTCAGGAAGACCACACTTGTTTTTCGGTGCTCGCTGACTTATCATCGATGTCGGTGCTGCAGCGTATCCGCATCGGATCACCTCCGTCTCGCAGGTGCAGAAGCTTCCTTTCATTGGCCAGAAGACTGGTACCATGGTATGTCCTCTCTGGGTATCGGGTCTACTGGGAATCAACGCACGTCTGCGTAGGTAGAGGAATTCATCGACACGGGAAAGATCGAGGAAGCTCGTGTGTCTCTTCAGCCGCATTGCGCTGGCTTCGCCTCACCTATGCTTTATCGCAGAAACTATCCTCGCATCGGACCGCTTCAAAGCCCTCAGCCTCTTACCTCCGTCTATGGCATCGGGCCCAACACCGCTCGCCGCCTCTACAGTCTCGGCCTGCGCTCTATCAACGACCTCGAGATCTACTATGGCGTCGAGCGCGACGAGCCACAAGCTACTGGCCCGTCGGAGCTGCAAGAGGTCGAGATGCAGAAGCGGCCTCATTATTGGCGCGGGCAGGACCAGGATAAGGGCAATCGCAAGCATGGTAAGCTAGGAGGGAGCTTCGGGGTGAGAAGGGTGAGGGCGATGAAGGTCTGGGAGATAGCTGGATCCGGATCGCGCTGGAACTGAGGGAGGACCTTGCCATCAAGTACGTGCGACTCGGATACGTCGGCTGCTTGGTGGTTTGCTGAGGAATCTGGAACAGGATACCACGAGCTGAGGTGGAAGAGATGGAGCGCATCGTTATGGCCGAGCTGGCCGAGCTAGAGCCAGGGTGCGTGAGCACGATCGTCGGGGGCTATCGGCGAGGGAAGCCGGAGAGCAATGACGTCGATATCGTCTTCACGCACCCTGACGCAGGGGTTGTGAAGGGGCTTTGCAAGCGGTTTGTGCGTAGGCTCTACGAACGAGGTGAGTCGGCACCGGCTCGTGTAGCAGACCGGAGGTTTCTGACTGGGCGGCAGGTATGGTCAGCCATGTAATGCGTACGTCGCTCGCGAATAGCCTGTGCTAGTCTCATACTGAGTGACCCACAGACCTGTCTGGCTTCCACGGCCATAATCCTTTGCGAACCACCCATTGGGATTCGCTCGAGAAGGCGCTCACCGTCTTCACGTTACCAAACTCATCGCCGTTACACAACGGTATCCGGCGGCGTCTTGACTTGATCTTCGCACCGCCCGAGGTGTATTGGACTGCTGTTATCGGTTGGTAAGTCCTAGTCTCATAGCGACGTCATGTCGTGTGTCTGATGAACGACACCCTCAGGTCAGGGTCAATCATGTTCCAGCGGGACCTCAGACAATGGGCCAAAGACAAGCTGTGAGTGTGCAACATTCCGTCGCACGAGCGACGCTGGCCTGATGTCATCCACGAAGTGCCATGAAGTTCGACAGCTCGGGAATGTAAGTGATACTCTTTGGTCATCGCTCTCGCCGTCTGCGCCTGCTCACTTTCGCACAGCACAAGACGGTACGACTCAAAGATGTTCTTCCCGAAGACAGAGAAGGAGGCCTTTGACCTCTTAGGACTCGAGTGGGTGGCGCCGGAATGGCGGAACGCAGATGCATAGGGTTAACTGCGCCGCTGAACATCACCAAACGCATGTCGTCTGTCACAAAGCACAAATTCTTCTGTCGCCTGCTGTATCGCCTCCTCGAGATCCTAGTAGCCCAGATGTCGTCCTGTAGCAATCCTGGTGTTTGTTGTCTCCACCCCGCGAATCTCGGTGATCCGAAGCTCGATTATCCAACCTGATTGTGTGATAGGTACATTGTGGTATATCAGGGGCCGTTCAGTTCGCAAACGCTTGAAGTCCGGTCATTGCCTTGCCGAGGATCAGCGTATGAATGTCCTGCGAAACATCAGTCATCAGTGCGCGATCCTTCATCGTACGACGACTGCTCCGACTCACGTATGTTCCTGACGTGCGTGTACGGGTCAATCCGACATTCAGCTTCACCACAGGAGGAAGAGAGAGGACGCGCACCTTCGTACGTGTTCACGACCTGCAGGTTCGCTACATGTCGGGCGACGTGGTACCTACAAACGTCGTTCGTTAGCTTGCGTGAGACCGCGGACCGGAGAGGGGGACTGACTCGTCGGAGCACGCATTCCCGCCCAGGATGTCGAGGACCCTCCTCGAGTGCTCCAGCGCCTTCCCGCAGTTGTTGCGCTTCACGAGACTGATCATCTCCGGCGCAACCTTGCCCTCGTCCTTCAGCCGGCCCACCTATCACAACACAACTACCCCGTCAGCAATCGCGCGAGACATCCGCGGCGGGACGAACGGGGACGCGACGCGCACCTGCAGAGTGGCGTGGAGTCCGAGGACGGCCTCCGTCTGCGCGTCGACAAGCTTCTTCTGCACGAGCTGGAAGGACGCGAGCGGGCGCTTGAACTGGTGCCGCTCGAGCGCGTACGCACGGGTGCGGTCGATGCAGTCTTCGAGCGCGCCCATGGCGCCCCACGAGATGCCGTACCTACCCAAGGCAACACGTCAGTGAGCTGCAGCTGGTCAGATGAGAGGTGGTAAGGGACATGCGCACCGGGCGCTGTTCAGACACCCGAAGGGCCCGCCGAGGCCCTTGGCTTTGGGGAGCAGCGCGTCGTGCCCGACCTTGACGCTGTCCATGAAGATGGAGCCGGTGATGGAGCAGCGCAGCGCGAGCTTGTGCTTGATCGCGGGCGCCGAGAGGCCCTTCGTGCCCTACGCCGTCTATCAGCGCTGTATCAGTGGCGGGGCGTGCGGGGTCCGACGCACCTTCTCGAGCAGGAACCCGCGCACTTTGTCGTCCCACTTGCAGCGTGCCCAGATGACGAATAAGTCGCTGGTCGGATCGTGAGGTTAGAAAAGGTCTGGGACGCTGGATAGAAGCGGACTGACGCGACGGGTGCGTTCGTGATCCATGTCTTGGCGCCGTTGATGACGAACCCGCCGTCGACCTCTTCGGCGACGGTCTCCATGCCAGCGGGATCAGAGCCGTGATTCGGTTCAGTGAGGCCCTAAGAGAGAATGGTGGTCATGATCTCAGCGAGCCGAAGAACGAGAAATAGGGGCATACGAAGCATCCGACGATTTCGGCCTTCGCTGTTGTCGTCGCCGGTTATTCATGCTGAGGCGGAGCGGACAGCAAAGTAACGGTACGCACCAAGACGTGGCAGATACTTTTCTTTCTGCGCTTCGCTGCCATACTCGTTGATCGGGTGCATCACCAGCGACGACTGGACAGACATGGTCGACCGGTAGCCGGAATCCACACTGCGTAAGGCAAGGCAGATCAACAACAATGCTAGGATGGTGGTAGCCCAGAGCACCTACCGTTCGACTTCGCGCGCGATGAGGCCATATGCTACGCTACTCACACCGGCGCAGCCATACCCTTGGATCGTCGGACCGAGGAACCCAAGCGCGCCCATGGCTGGTAGGACGTCATGATTGAACTCTATCGAGAGGCGCTATTAAGTCGTGCGAGCTAGAATACTTGAATGATATGCCTACCTTCTGTACGTAGTGCGTGGAGGACCTTCGGCATAAGGTTCTCCTACTGGGCGGTTCGTCACTAGAGCGATGAAAAGGGGAAGGCTAGGAACGTGCCTGACAGAAGGCTCGTGCGGTATCCCTAGCTCAAAGATTCGAATCCTAGACTGAATGAAGGAAAGCTGAGACATACCGGACAGCGATTTCTTCCTCCGTCAATAGGCTCTCCAAATTCAGGGGGTCCTGTGTTTCATGTGAGAGCCTGCGCCGCTGGAGAAGCAGCCCTCAACATACCTCCTGGTCGTACTTCGCAAATGCTTAACGCATGTAGACACCTCAATCAGCTGGGCACGGTAACTCTGAGCATTACAGGACATACTCGACTGCAAGCGTGTTGAGCCTGATACACTAGACTTCAGTCTGTGCAATCCAGCAGGCTGCCGACGAAGAAATACGCGCGGTAGAGAAAGCATGTTGAATCGCAAGCAGACAATCCTCAGTAATGCAGGGCGACGAGAATGAGGGAGGTAATGGCCGGTGTTCGACAACTGTGGTTAAATAGGTCGGAAGATCCCCGCCACAGACCCGCATGTGTGGGGTAGACGCGCGATCGGGATCAGGATCTAATTCAATGTTAAACGCGCACTTTCAGACCGACAACCCGACGACAGCCGACGGTGACCCAACCGCGAGTCCGCAGTCGTATGGGCTCGTATACACCGCAGAAATCTCTTGCTCTCGAAATCCCAAGCTACCCCGAATATTTGCGGTCCTCAATTCCTGCGTTATGCTTGCTCTCCTGCCAGACCACATTGCGGATCCTCAAGCAAGGGAAGGGCTATGAATATTGAAGCATTCCCCGCGGAGCCATCCCGGCCCATCCACATTGATCTCCGTCACTGTCGGCGGCAGTTCGACGTAATTATGTGTATGCAGTGAGTCACAAGATTCCATGTGTAAATTACGGCACGAGAAGCTCTCCATTTCGTGCAGGAAGACAATCACTGGAGTACGGAATCCTCAAGAAGTCAATTTCGATTTGACATATGATAAACGGATTCGCAGCCAGCGACAGGTGCTCAGTGTTGCGTCGAACGTTGAACACACGACCGACGCGGGACTCACGCTGCGGCGTCGAAGCTATGGCTCGTGCGATCGTAGAAGCGAAATGATCCGAAAGATCAGTCCTCCTTTTCTTGACTCCCACTCCAGGTTCTCAGTGCTACTTCGTTTGTCCACCGTCGTACGGGCTTTCGCGGTCATCCTTCACCAAAATAACACTTCGCGAGGGGGCCCAACACCCCATCCGTTTGGCCATTCGCTTGCCAGTGAACTCGACATCAACCTCCCATCCTCACGTACGCCGCCACATCTCTATGCCTAGCGCAATCACCAGCTGCGTAGCTGACGTAGACGTCGAGCGTCTCGAATGGAGCTTCGTGGGTCGCACGACAGATCACTCTCAGAGCTCATCGAGTCCTCATATAGGTTCCTCACATGCGCAGCCTTCGCCATTGTTGTGCATCATCGAGACCGCGCTTTCTATGTGGAAGATTCTCTCCTTGAACGCTGCTGTCGACTCTTCAGGAATTGGGCAGTCGACGTCGAGAGCAGCTATGTGTTCCGACAGCAAATGCTACTGCTGATGCGTCGGTGATAGATGACTGTCCGCCTTGAACATCTACGCATTGACAGATACCTACTAGGACAACACTATACACCCGTAGAGGATGAATTGAAAAAACCCTTTCGTGTATATAAGTTGGGATATTGCAGACGGGAGTCTCACCCGTCTCATCCCTCCTGACCTCCGTCACGCATCGCGACGAGATGCAGTTCATCCGGCTGGTTGCTGTACTGGCCGCTCTCATCCCACTCATGGCTACCGCGGCCAGTGCACGCCCGTACGGTATGGCAGGTAAGCCCTAGGCTTCGCCTTCATTGACCAGAGCTCACTATATGCCCGATCAGAGGTGTTACGGAGGGTACCCAGTACGTTGCCCCCTACAGGAAGTGCGCCTTGTGCTGATGATCCCGATTTCCGACGACGCTCAGAGGCCTACACGTTTGGCGATATAATCAATATGCCGGCGCCATTCACATCCCATCGCAGCTGCAGTGGATGTTGATATCCACATGCTCTATACCCGTAAGCGTTGTCAGCATATTCTCAGATTATGACGCGGTTCCTGATACCAGTTCGATTCTCGTCTAGCATCTCGTCTCAGTACGAACTTGATTCGAGGTCTGCAGATTCAATATCCAATCCTTTCCACTATCATTGTTAGATTGCATCTCAAATATCACTACACTGTCTGCCTGAGTACCCCTTATTCTGTACAGTTAATTTATTAACCAAGAAGGAACTTCCCTTATGAGATTCGTCTCACTCCCGAGGCTGTCAGGCCTCACGTTTACGGTCCATGCGTATTTGTTGAGATCCTGAGACTTTACCACCATCAGTAAAATATTCCCACTTCGAGGTGGCAGCGTTCTGGTCCCTTTACGCACTGCGCCATGCTTCAGCCTGACTTCACTGGAGAAGTGAAGACATTCGGTGTAAATTCAGAAGCGCTCGTAGGATCACTATCTAGTGGCAGCCACCACGTGTAATTTGTAGACAGCCGCTTGAACTCGGCTTGACAATGAACGCTTTCGACACGACTGTTCTTCGTGAGTACTTGAGTATTCGCACCTCCTAGATGTTGCCAGAGTCGTATCCACTGAAGACGCATATGCTTTATATTCCTGACGCGTATGTAACGTCGGCCTCGTTGCCACACTCATGATCGCATCTGAGTCATAGCCTGAGTACGCCCCGAGCCGTTTCGCGACCGCGTCCGAGTCTCCTCGTCTGCGTTCATGGTACCCTCGATCAGATACAAAAGCCACGTTCTGACTTCTTGAATATGCAGAGAGGGCCATGCCGGACAGCTCGTCCACACGCCCAAGGGTAGCTCTGAAACCCACCTCCAACAAGTTCCGTCGCCTTGGCCGATGGACTATGGCCTCACCATATGCGGATTCACTCGCCGCCTCTTGGTGTGGCGCCAGCATTTCCTTCTGCTTCTCTGGGAGCTACCTCAGCATACGGACAGGCTCGCGTACAGAGCGCAAGGACTCGTTTAATGGCGGAACTCCGATGATAGCTTGTTCAGTCAGCGCACGTTCGGAAGGTGGTGGCGATTCGAGCACAAACGAGAATCAGGTGAAGACGTACGATTGCGGGCCATCACAGGAGGTTGTTCTGGTAGACGAAGACACTCCGACAGCGCGACCCGTCCCTGTCAAGATTACCCTCACTCTGGTGGATTGGGCATCCGTGTTCGAACTGGAGAGTGTCGTCGTGGATAATGTAGGCGGTCTCCAACTACTATGAGTAATGTGCTGCTTACACTTGCCATAAGGAAGACAGCGTCCAGGCTTTTCCCGATGACCCTCGCTCAGTCAGAGTACTCGCCATCGGGGACTCGATCACGGCAGGCTACTCAGATGGCTCACAGCCAATTCCTCTGGGCTGTCTCAGCGCGTACCCACACATCGCGAAGGCACAGCTCCACGCGAGAACGGGTATTGAGCTCGAGCTCGAACTCGTAGCCTTCCCCGGTGTGACGCTCGTAGCGCCTACGCCAGAGGAAGCGGACGAGGGCGCCGGGCAGGGTATGATAGACCGGTTCTTTCATGTGCGTAGCTTGTTGGATGCACGCGGATCCCGTTGTATTGATTGACTGTCGCTATATGAAAGGCGTCCCAATGGTCGGACGGGCCTGCAGCACTAGACGAACAGCCCTCAATCATAGTGATCGCCCTAGGTGCGCATCACGCCTATGAGGCCTCGCGCTGGGTGTCGAGGCTGAATTAGTTCTATCTCAGGTACGAACGATGACGCGCAAGACGTGTCCCCCATCAATTCGCCTCAACCATGCATGCTTTCGTCGGCCGTCTGTTGCAGGTGTATCGCGCATCGGCCAAGCAAATATGTGTCCTCGTAAGGTTCCCTTCATTGCTACGCTCCGTGGTTCGCTCATGACCCTCTTTAGCATCCCTTCCCCGATTTTACTGCAGACTCGGATCCTGAAACGACAGAAAGCGCCGAACAGGTCTCTGTCACACGAGACCTGTCGTCAGCTTTGGCTTCGTTGAGGTCCAATGCCGGGCAAGGTGTCGAATTCCACGAATGGGACATCGGAGGCGACCTCAGGAGGGAGCACACCATGGACGGACTACATCCGACAATTTACGGGCATCATATGCTTGGAGATACACTCGCTAAGCAATTGACAACGCTCGTCAGCTCTATAGCGGTGTCATAGGTTCAGTGTCGACTGTACCCAACGTTTCTGTTACTCGCAAGCATGAGATTGGCGTGCATACCCGTGGGTGCAGTAACAACATATCAAAGATCTGTTCATTACCCTCCGCCGCCGCGTCGCCGAAAATGGTGGCGATTTGGTATACTGCATGGCGTGAGGGTGCACGAAGGGCATCAATTGTAGGTAAGTACCGTCAACTCATCATGAAATGGTAACATGGACTAGTACGAACTTGTGTTGTAGTACCGTGGTAAGCTTCGCTATGTCCCAACACCTATCTAGATATCTTCGCTTCCTTCTTGGGCGGTTCCTCGTCTGAACCACATACTGCTAGAGGACATTCACGCCGTTTGAGAGATGACGGTGGCATGTTGTCGGTTCGGCCGTCTGGCGAGGCGTCGTTGGAAGGCGATTTGCTCGGATGCAGCTTGTCGTTAAGGCGACGGTTGAATCCGATACACTGGAGACCAATAACTTTCGCTTTCAAGATGCCCCATTGATACATTCCAGGTACGCCTTCGGTCAACGCATTAGACGCGTGCGCCCTCTCTGTTGTACGCTTCGCCAGCGCCGCTTTCAAATCAAGCTGGGCCACTGAATTCTTAAGTCGCTGCAAACATCATGAGAGTGTGACAAGTTATTGAGTGTGTATCAATGCCGAGGGCTGCCTTGCTCACCTGGAAGAGTTTGATATCAATGGCTTCCAGCTGGATATTATCCAAACCGAGCTCCACCCTTTGGTATGTGCCGACGTAATAGAGCTTTCCATGAGAGGTATGGAAGATTTCACGTGTCTCCTTTGACTTGATACATCTGGTGTACCTCCACCACTTTGTGCTGTGGACGCTCGAAACGTAGTCATACATAGGGACAACGTACATCGCATGATTTGAGTTGGGGAGCCACAACAAGTTGTCACTGAGCGTCATTTCGAAGCCCGTGAGCACGCCTCTCCGTCGTAGGCCAGACAAGATTTCAGATACGTGCTGAGAGGCCTGCGTGCATATGATCGTCTGATGCATACAATGTCCAGTAAGGATTTCAAACTGACCGGTATCTCAACAGGCGTAAGGGCCGCGAGATCAATTGCTACAGCGGGAGCAGGTAGTGCACGCAAATCATCCACGAAGCCCCGCAACTATGCGTAGGCAGTATGTCAGCCATCATCATTTACAATCAGAGCGTCCGATGCAATACCTTCACTGCCGAGCTATGAAGGTCAAGCTGGTCGGATGTACTAGCTGTGATCGAGTTGAGCGCGGTCCGCAGACTCGATATCTCCTGAAATATGATTAGTGTGAGAAGACGATGCGTTCGACAGAAGATGACCTTCTTCACAGCATCCAGCTCGGATTTCACGTAGTTGGACTGCCGTCGACATTCGGTCTCAGCTGCAATAGCTTCGGCACGCTCTGCAACTGCACGACTGCAGATCTTCTCCTTGTTCACGACCTCCTCTCGTAATCTCGTATTCTGTATACAGTAGATAAGCATGAACTGACTAGCACACCGGTGGGTTGCTACTCTACCTCTTTCTCCATGTCCTTGGTGGTTGCCTCCAATCTTGTGATCTTTGTGAGTTGTGTGGCGCTTTCCTGGCTACATTTCTTCTTGAGCTCTTCGTTTGCGGAGTTGCACTGTGCAAGTTTATCGACAAGAGTCTTGACCTGTGCACCAACAATTAGACCAAATACCAAGCCGCACGTGTGACGTTAGCACCTTTGCTTCCGTCTCGGAGGTGACACGTTCCTCATGATACCCTTAGCATTCCCAACAAGCGACAGATAGACCGCAAAACTTACTGCTTCTTCGCGGCGCGCTCGTTCCCTCGCGAGCAGATCTGATACTCGCTGAAGCTACAATAGAGAATGACACTGAGCAGCACAGGAATAAATGGTAGAGGAAACCTACATCTTGTCGAAGCAATGCCGTGGAATGTGCCTGTCAATGTATTATTAAGCTGCATGCGCTGAACGATGTAGAGCGTGGGACGCTAGTGTGGGACGTACAACCTCGTCTTTGTTCGATAGCGCCTCAATCGAAGCGGCGGCATTCGTCCGTAGTTCATTGAGTTCCTGTGCATATGGTATCAATGCAGTTAGAACTATCAGCGCTCAGAGTCTGTAGAAAGTAACACACAACGTTGGAAGCCTCGAGCTTCTTCTCGGCTTGTGTCAACGCCACTCCCAGCGCGTCCCTTTCCTGATCGGAGCATCGTCTCTAAGTCGATACCGCGGCGTCAAGGCAATCGAGCCTGACTCACTTTCTCCGATGCACTCAACTGCGACTCTACATTCAAGAGTTTTTGTTCCAGGAACTCGTAGAACTCCGTCTGTAGCCTGGGTCTCAGTGCGGCTGGGCTGAAGGACATGACGACAGTGGCAAGCTTCTGTAGCCGTGACAATTTGTATGAAGGACAGACACAGTAGTAGAGTTTTACGATTGCGCGACGTCCAATATCCGTTCGAAGATGGCTAGCAACGAGGAGACCCTAGACACATGCACGTACAAACGTACTTACAGATCAGCAGTACTCGCCGAGTGGCTTGAGGTTCATTGCCGGATTTGGTATGGCCGCGTGGCTTGCCTACGCCAGCGTAAATAACGCCGTGACGGCCCGCCCGGCGGCCCACGTTTGTTCTGTACTACTATGCAGTCTGTGTAGTGTCTTAAGTATCCAGTCAAACATTCACTGGCAACGGCGTTTGCTACAGGATTCACAAAGGCGTAGGTCTACCCGCAGGCCTACTTACAACTGGAAACTTGAATTCTACCGTGACTAGGCCCTCAGAAGTGAGTTAATTATACGCGCTTCCATACTGGCTGGAGAGCAGTGACGGTACGAGAGATGTCCGTCGCATGAACCGTGTATACTCGCTCGCTGGCTAATGCTAGGTACAGCTTGCCACGATCACTTCCAGTAACTAGTGCCTATGCGATCCGAGTCATTGGCACACCGATACATTGTTACGTCGGTATCAAAGAGCAAGCGCGGTCAATGGTTAATGTTCCATTGGCCAATATTGGTATGTTGTTCTCTCAGACCTCCTGCATGGGGTACTGACTGGCCGCTAGCGCTCTATCTAGTGCTTCAAGGGACTCCTATGTGAGCTTCTAAGCCGACATTGCGCGGCGAATACACTAGTGTTCTGTTCGAGTCAAGGCCCTCAGCTAACGCTGACTTGCCTTCTGGCTGCAAGAAGCCATGTGGGACGCTGGCTACGGGTGAACTGCGGCGTTACGAGTCAAAGCTGCTGTACAATTATGACCACAAGTTGGAGGGCGTCTTACAGAAAATTTCTGTCGGGCTCTGTCCGTATTTTTGAACCGTGTGAGTGATGATGTGCTTTGGTTTTCATCTTACCTCTACCGATTCGCGGCTGAATGCGATTCAAGACAGCCAGCAACCACACAAGCCAAATGGGTCCTGCCAGGAGATGGGCTCGTGGGCGTAAGACGGTAACAGTTTAATGAGATTTGAGCTTGTGCAGTCCCAAGAAACAAACAGATGCCTCGCAAGGCATAGGTCACGGTAACTGGCACCGCTGAGGCCTATCTAGGCCGTCGTATACAGCATTGGGCTCGAACCGCCCATGGATGGCGAATCCTTCTGGTATAGGTGGTGACGTGGCTGCTATCTTCCCAGTGCAAATGACGCGCAAGTCAAAGTTCAGTCGGTGCATTTGGAGATCTGCAAAGCATCCGTGTTATAAGGGAATCAAGGACAGCCCCTTTCACCTATCTCGTCTTGCTGGAAACCATGTTCCAGGACTCGTTTTCTTCAGCTTATGCCTGGATCATGATGCCTTTGGTGTGCGTCATGGGCCTTGTCTACTTGCTCGGTCTAAGCAATCCCCGGCGCCGTCTCCCTCCCGGTCCAAAGCGTATTCCTGTCTTAGGCAACGCCCATCAGTTGCCCTCAAGCTCCCAGGAGCAGACCTTCAAGTCGTGGGCGGATGAATACGGTGGATTTCGCAGTACTTAGACGACATTCGACCAATCTCACGCTGGCTACACCCGCAGGCGATCTGGTCTATGCCGACTTCTTCGGGTGCCGCACGCTCATCATCAACTCGCCCAGCATCGCGCGGGACCTCCTGGACAAGCGGGGCGCGATCTATTCGAGCCGTCCTCGACTTGTCACACAGGTCGAGCTGTACGTCGCACCCTCCCCTTATCGCTCGCATTGACACTGACCGGCGAACCCAGGATAGGCTGGTATCCTAACACGGCTTTTCTGCCGTACCAAGCCGCGGGGCGGCGTATGCAGCGCCGGTGGATCCAGGCAGCGTTCGGCGAGAAGGATGCGATACGGAAGTACGACAGCCTACAGCTGCGGGAGATTTGCACCTTCCTGTCGAACCTCATGCACACGCCCGCAGACTTCACGATGCACATCACGCGGTACGTCACAGCTGTAGTGTGAAGGCCGGGGGTGTGCAGAGCTCCCGATGGACCATGATCGCTGAGTGCCTTCGTTCGCACCTAGGTACACCGCGGCACTCATCCTCGAGTCTGTGTATGGGCACCGAATCACGTCCTTGGACGATGAGTATGTAACGCTGATGGACCATGCCATGGACGCAACCAACGCGACCGGTCCGGCAGGAAGCGGGATAGCGGACATCTTTCCACTTCGTTAGTCTTCAATTGTGCTGACTGCGAAGCCTTGATGAGATATTGACCGCTGACCGCTGATCTGTTATAGTCAAGTACGTCCCGGCGTGGATGCCTGGGGCAGACTTCAAGCGCAAGGCAATGTACGCCAGGGAACTCGTATGGCGCGCTAATCATCTCCCATACAATATGGTCCGCAAAGCGGTGGTGGGTCCACACTTGCAAAGCATAGATGGAACTGTATCGTTGACACCGTCCAACTAGACGTCGGGAAGTGCACGGCCTTCGTTCGTTTCCGAATTGATCGAGAAAGCAGAGAAAGCGGGCCGGCTTGCCGAGGACGAGGACTACATCCGGTACGCGGCGGGCGTGTTGTACTCTGG